TTTGGATGTCTAAGACTCTGAAATATCAAAGTCTAGTTTATTTTGTTTACGCAACTATTAATTGTTCTCCTGACAAAATGTATTTAATTTAGTATACGAAAATACGAAGTAAAAAGAAATTAAAATTGAAGTATATTTATCTAGTTTATATTTATTTTTAAAATATTTACCACCGTTAAAATAATATGCTATGCATTGTTATAAAATAATTTAAATTCAAATTAAGACAAAACATTAATTATAATAATAATTGTATGAAATGTTAATTTATTTACCCAAATATTGTTATAATATAATAATATTATATTATAAAAAGTAACACGGCGCGTTGAATAGGCAATATAGGTACCATAGAGTACACTGTTATTACTATTGTCTACCTAGTACCTACATAGAATCATAATAATAATATTTTTGTTATAACTTTTGCTATGAATATCTCTGTTTAATAATTACTTGAAAATGTTAAAAACTTCACTAGGATTAAATACACAGTGATTAAACAGTGACCAAAAAGATTTTTGGTATCGAGAGTGGGAATAAAAAAATATATGAGGAAGGAGTATCTTTTTTTGAATTTATACACTATATTTACATTTATTTATAGTATTAAAATATTATCAAGGCTTTAAACAATTGAAGACAGACATTTTAACGAGTTTATTTTTCTGAAAAATATGATCTTTAAATATTTTATTTTTATTAATAATATGATTTTTAGTTTTTTTTTTAGCTTATAGGTAAAACGGAAAAAAACCGGGTTTTAATAGGGCGGCGACTATGGCTAATGTTAATATCCTCACGGGATATCCTATATAGTGTATATTATGTACATTAATTGTCCATATTTGATAACAACTTTCGTCAAGTAAAATAAGAAAATATATGGACGAAAGCGTCCTAAAAATGTTAACTGTTTAATATTTTCTTAAAATAAATATAATATTATTTATTCTAAAATAGATGATTATGCTGAAATAAAATAAATAATAAACTATTTAGAAACATCATGGTTTATCATTAAAAAAAGTAAACAAAGATAATAACATTTACGAAATACATTTAGAACTTAAATAGAAATAATAATATTGTTTGAATTCGGATGAACCAAATAAATATACATTTATAATGCATAATATAGTTTTAACGTGTATTACCAATTTTGTATTAAGTTTTTTTAATGATTTACTGTATTGAGTAATAAATAAAAATAATGTTTTTGTAGTATATAATGACTTTTCTTTGCTTACGCCATCAGTATAAATCGTTTTCTGTTTATGTTTTTTATTTGTTTCGGTACAATTCACATTATCCTAGAACATCGAATTGGTTAGGTCAAATGTTACGAAATTACATTATTTCTAATATCAAAGAAATTGTTTGGTTTTCTTTTGAAAGTACGGGTATAGAAGTTTTTGGTATGTAAAATTACTATAGTATTTTAATCTTTTATTTAAAATTTTAATTAACAAAAATATATGGTTCGTTTGTTAATTTATTTAGATGTTAATTTGTTAATAATATGTTTTATTGTATAGTATAAAACATATTATAAATGGTTCAGAAGAGTTTTCTTTGTTGAATTGTATACAACGATTTTAAACTCATCAACTCATAATTCATACTATCTAATGGTAAGAGTTTTTCAACTTGTGTTTCATTATTAAAAGTTTAAATTATGACCGATGACGTAAATTTTGGTAGACTAAAGTACTGGATTGACTCTTGTAATCTTTTAAACAAATTTGTGTAACCTCTTATCTAGTGACAATAAAAAATCCATAAAAATAAATTGTATAGGTACTTAAAAATTATTCTATACCCAGGCTAGGTAATTAATTTACTTATTAAGATTTATTTTTTCACATCTTTTATTTTTTATAAAACTTAATACTGTTGGTGAATACAAAATACATAATTTTATACTTATTCAAAAATTGTACTAGGTATGCATATTATAATTTTATAAACAATGTTTTAATCTAATGTCATTAGATTTTGAGTTAGGTGATAAAGTTATTAGTTTTATCACTTTACAATGATTTATTATTAATTTATATCTTCTAGGTCTAAATGATATTCGTCATAATTATGCATAGATTTAGAGTGTTCTACAGATTTTGTCGTTGACTAATAAAATAAATTTAATTAAATTGAATTACTGTACATCTGGTTTCAGTTGTAAAAAAAAAAATAATACATTTGTAATTGTTTTATACTTTATAACCTAGGGCCCCAGTGCCGCAACTACACATTATGGGGCTGATGTGCAAATCTTAATTTGGGGCCTAAATATACAGAATGTAAGTAAATTATTATATTGAAGGGCCTGGTCACAACTTTTCAAATTTTCCGCAATTCTATAAAATTTTAAAATAAAATTTTATATTTTAGTTACCTCCTCAATTATAAAACTTTTCCACTAAATTACTACCCAATACCTATTTAGGGGGGGGGGGTTGATAGGGTGTATTATATCGATCAAAACACAGTTTACAGGAAAAACTCTCACCTCGTAGATTGGTCCGTTTTCCATAATTTTTTTTTTGTTAGATAAAAGAAAATTGTTTACAGGCCGCATTGGACTTCGATTTTTGATTAAGTTGCTAATAACAAATAATAATACAAAATCTAAAAAGTTGTAAAAATGGAGTAAATTCAAACTTGTAATATAAGATTTCGAAAAATAATTTTTGAAAATCCAAGTCCTATGCGCCCTGCAATAAATAAGTCTTCCTCTATTTAACAAAAAATAATTACGGAAATCGGACCAATCTACGAGGAGTGAGAGTTGTTCCTGTAAGGCATGTTTTTGAGCTAAAAAACTGGTCGCGCGCAGGCCCCTTAAGCTATCTAAACAAAAATATTTAATTGTATAATTTATTGTTATAAAAATAGTATTATAGTATAATTTCAACTCATTTGTAAATTATCTAACAAAATTGTTTTTTCTTCGCTTTTGCGTCTGAATAGTTGTCAATGACTTTCTCTACATCTATCTCGAGAGTTCTTCTCCATTCTATGTTCAGTATGGAAATGTCACTGTGACGATCTTGACTTATATAACTGCTCAACAATTTTTTGAATCATTCGAGTTCAATTTGATTGCAATAAATTATAAATATTTAATAATACGAACACATTTGTTTTTTTTATTCTTAATTTTTATTTTATTTTCTTCAGCCTGCACAGCTATACAATTAATTTTAACACATCGGTTTGGGGACCTATATCGGATTGGGGCCTTTGGGGCCGATGTGCAATGCACACCTTTCATACCCGGTAGTTGCGGCACTGTAGGGCTCAGGTATGTAAATAAGAATATATATTTCTTTTTACATGTCAGTAATGTAATTGATAATAATACTCACTAAATAAGTTAAACATTTTAACATTTGTAACTATCTCAACGTAAGAAAAATCAACGTATAATTACTCTTAAGTATATTATGTAAAAATCTTAAGTATAACACGTTAAAATTTAATTATGTATATTGTATTTTTATAAGTAAATTTAAAGGGTGCTGGTAGAATATATATGACTACATAAGACTTGTAACCATGACAAGACAAATACTTACGACGACAGTGTGTCATTGAGTTGTATTTCTTTACATGTTTTACGTACAGTCTACTACTCGATGGTTTATATCTAACTGTCAACATGATGTCATTGATAGTGCGTAGTTGTATAACAGAAAAAAAACCCAATGCTGAACATTTTGACATAAAAGTTTAAACGTATTTAAATTTACATCACTTTTTCTAGTGAATTAATTTTATAATGCTTTACATTTATTTTTAGATATTTTTCTTTATTATTTTTTATTTAGAAGTATATTTAAAATATATACTTAATACTTACAAAAACAAAATAGGTAAATTGGACAAATAATGAACAGAAACAAATATATACTTATACATGAAAACATAAATTAGGGGAAAACTCATTAGTAGCATCTATACATTTTTAGATATTAATCATAAAATTTTTTAACAGAAAACCGTTCATAAAAAAAATAATAAACATTAAGTTTCTGACTGGCTAATGTTGATCTTAAATTAATCTTAATTAAACATGTTTATGAAAGTCACTCCTCATTATGTATTCCTTTAGTTTGAATATCAAAATCTGTTTTGACAAAATATCTTATTTAACCAATTCAGGTGGCTTAAGTGACTGAGTTGTAATGATTTTTTGAAATATTAAAAAAATACCTAGAATAATATTTAATTTCTTAAATGTATATTAAATATAAAAAGTTGTTTTGCCATATTGGGACTGTAATAAACGTATATTTATAATACCTTTTTTTAACATTATTTTCTTTACTATCAAAACTTAAAACTGAGCTTAATTCAATAAAACAAATACCTAATAATAGATTGTGTTTTAATAAACGCTACTAATTTGTGCTATACAATCAAGTATTAACTAATAATATACGTTTTTACTCTTAACTCATTGACCATTGTTTTTTTTTTAAGTTTTTTATACAAAAGTGATTTTAGTGATTTATAAATTCAATATAGAAAGATATACCTATAGTACATTTTTAAATTTAAATATATTTTGTATTTTTATTCATCTACGTATCGTGATTACTGTATAATATTATGAACATAACAGCTATCGGCCATCATATATTATATTATATACAATTAGCTAACATATGTCTTTCGTATTTACATAGCAAAAAAAAAAAAATACAAATTATATAATTATTGGGTTTTTACCTATATCTAAATGACTTAACGACAACGGATGATTCTTAAGAAATAAAGATATACAATTAACGGATTTCCAATTGAGAATTTTTTTTTGGAAATCTACTAACGTGATTATAATATTTTCTAGGTCGGGCCATTGTCTTTTCGAGGTGTGAATATCTTATATGCTGCCGATGTGACGACGGCAATGCGGCGATGACGGCAACCAGCAGCGTCACCTGAGTGGCCGGCCGGTTATGCTCGGGTCGGCGTACCCGGATGTCGTTTAAATGGACGGCGCCAACGTCACGGCCGCAGTGTACGAGCACAACGAGACAGTGGTGTCGTGGCCGAAGAACGCGACGACCGCCGCCGGGCCGTCATCAACGTACACGGCGCTGGAAGCGTTCACCATCGGCTCCGTGCTGTTCCTGGTCATCGTGGTGACGATCGTCGGCAACGTGCTCGTCTGCATCGCCGTGTGTCTGGTCCGCAAGCTTCGGCGCCCGTGTAACTATCTGCTCGTGTCGCTGGCCGTTTCCGACCTTTGCGTGGCCCTGCTCGTCATGCCCATGGCCCTGCTCTACCTGGTCCTTGGAAAATGGCCGTTTGGCACGTTCATGTGCGACCTCTGGGTACGTGTCACGAGTGTTATAAATAATAGTAATTTCATCATACATCGTGTATATATATCGTGTGCATATTGGACAGCCTTCATCACTAAATATGGAGTCGTTGTATCGATAGATTTTTGAGTTGTGAAAAAAATTATACACATCTTTGTACCTTTTTAAATGATAAAATTCACTTTTAGTATTTTTATTATTTTTGAGGACTTGTAATATGTTAAATAATGGAATATACAGCAATTTTTTGTTTAAAAATATTATTATAACAATATTATAATATTATCATTACAAAATTCTATTTGTCATCTGTGATGCTAGACCAGTAACCAATATCATAGTGTTATAAGCATTTAAATGTGGTTGTACTCAGATAATATTTTGTCACTAATGAATAAAGCACTAACTGGTTCTGGACGATATCAGTTCATTACTTAGTAATAATTGAAATGTCTCATACACTGTTTAATGTTTTGTTTTTTCACAGATCTTTAAAGTCGATCTTTTATAAATAAAAAATAACATACTAAAAAACAATTTACCGGAAATAAGGTCAATATAGGTAGTATATACTAAGAATAAGCTGGTTGAAAATTATGTGAGCAGTAACTACTTATAAAATAGTACTTACGCAATCGATATATTATGATATGCCTACTTAATCACTGTGATGCTATTTAACTTTGGAATATAACAGTATTAAAGTAAACATTTTGTCATTTTAATGGTATGTTATTTAAGGTTTAATATTTATGTATTCTTTACAGTTTGAATATAATATACAGTAAACACATTTTTATTAGATACAATATTTCAAAACTCATTTCAACAAGTCACTCGTTTATTGATTCATATTATTATGAACACAGTTTAACGATACACACATTACAAATAATATATAACTAGGCAGTGGGCACATAATGGACAAAGTAAAATTAGTATGACATTTTTAAATTCTGGTCGGAACGATGAATGTATTGATTTTACAATGATGTGTCATTTTTATTTTTTTATGTTTTGTGTCTATGAACACGATACGTGGTCGAAATAATAGTTCGATTTTCAACTTCAGTATGGGAAAGTGAATCTAGTTGGTGCAATTGGGAGGTCAAAATTCCCAATAGTTTTCAAAAGCGCCAGATAAAACAATATAAAAATTAGGGGAAACCTGGAATTTTTTCAATAAATCAGTTTTTGGCAAAATATTCGATTTTGGTTTTTGGTGTAACTTGTAACTATACTTGAAATTTTCACTGAGTGTTTATATTTTCATTTTATATACACCATACAATTTCGATAATAATTTGACTCTTTTTGAGCTGTTTAAGGACATTGTCAGTTTTCAATATTTTAGTTTCTTTTCCTAAAATGTTATTTTTTGAGTATAAAAGAGTTGAGTAAAAAAGCGTAAAAATGTAATACAATGCTCCTGATATATTGCTACAATAACACTTGAAAAATATTAAAAATACATAGGCACAATTTTTTTTTAGCATTTGAAGTTCGATTTTTGACAAAATATATCATATTTAAAATGAAATAATTATTTTGTAGTTAAAAATTTAGAAAATGTTCAACTTTTATAGCTAAGGATTAAAAATTTAAAACAAATTTCCACTTGAATAGGTTCTATATAAATTACTTTATTCACAATAATATCATCATATATACTTAGTAATATTATCATCGCTCAGAATCATTTTTCTTATACAATGATAATATATCATTGAATTCAAATTTAACACAATACATTACAATGACCCATTTGTAACCTGCTGTACAGAAGAGTGACACCCATTTGCCCACCTTTTTTATTATAAATTAGTAATAGAATGTTTTTAATTCTGAATGATAAAATAAATATGAATAACAAAAGTTACAGTTAAAGGGTACCTACATATTTATTATGATTTTACTGTTTTCTAAAAAAATATAAAATATAACCAAATGAAAAAAATTGGTTGAAGTCGAACATAAATTTAATGTAAAATTAGTTGTGATTATTTATAAATATAGGTACAGAAATAATTCCAAAACGTAACTATTGTTTCAATTTTATTTTTTAAAACTTATTAAATTTCGATTAACATCGGTATCTCATTATATTCGTCACTGTGACTCCTTTCTAGAAATACATGCAATTAATACAAGCTATTGTTTTCACGACACTAAATTTAATTCAAGTAATATGACAATTTAATAACACCTGCCTCTAAATTGTACAAAATCATATTTAATTAATTTGAAACACCTATAATTAATACTTAAAAAAAATTAAATTAAACAATATGAAAAGACTCTTAAATTTCTAATAGAACTGTGTTTTTACATTTTAATGCATATTTCTGAGTGTCTACTTTAAAGCTTAGTTTTAATACTTAAAAGCTATTGACCCCATTAACTTATTTTCAATACATTTAACCTTCGAGCGTGCGCGCGGACGGTTTTTACACACTTTATGAACCTATCCATTAGGTAATCTCTAATTTCTTATCTAGTCGTAAGATAAGACAATTGTTATAATTTTAGCATTTTCGGCATTTTAGCATATTAAATTGAAATGCTATTCTAAATTGTGCGGTGTTAATACCGTCGAGCGCCCGCGTGTGTAACTGCAAAATTCGCGGCCGCTCGAAGGTTAATAGATACCTATTAAAATCGTATTTTTAACGAAACATTCTTGTTTTTATACAAGTTGATTCACAGAATAGGGCATAGTGTGGTGTGGTCAATATTTACTTCGAAGTCATTATTTTTATTTTTTTTAGTCAACCATACTGAATACAGTTAACGTTTGTCCTGTTAAATTTAATGTTTAAAATATACATGCAAATACATATTATTTCTCTGAAACTAGTATATTATAGTACTCTGCAGCACTTCATTTTTTCTTTTTCTTTTGAGTTTGGTGAACCAAAAAAAATTATTAGTTGTAATAATATTGGAGATCTCTAAAATATCTTACAACACCATATTTTATAAAATATATCGAACAGAAAAATAGTATTTCTGTTGACGGAAACAAGCACTAATTAACTGCATTAGGGAGGTCAAATATTAAAATTCCCAATAGTTTTCACAAGCGCTGGGAAAAACAACATAAAAATTAAGGAAAAACGGGAATTTTTACGCAACATCGGTTTTAGTTTAGGTTGTTACTCTAAAACAAATGAACGTATATACATGACATTTTCACTAGTTGTTTATATTTCCATATTATATGCATGATAAAATTTTAAAAATATTTTGATATGTTTTGAACTGTTTAGGGACATTTTCAGTTTCCCATTTTTTTTTCTATGAATATCAATAAACTTTATTTGTTGATTAAAAATACTTGAAAATTTAATACAAGGCTCCTAAAATATTGTTACAATCACTTTTGAAAAATATTAAAAATCCTTATTCACAGTTTTTAGTTACAAGCATTTGAAGTTCAAATATTGACAAAAGACGTAAAAATTACGAAAATTTGCAAATTATTTCGAGTTAAGAATTCATAAAAATTTTTCTTTTCACATCTAAGATATGGAAATTTAATACAAGATTCCTTATAAATTTGTCTACTTTTATCAAAAAAAAAATATCCTAAAGAATGTAAAACTAAATTTTTATGAAATTCCAATTTTTAAAACATTGGATATTCATTCGATTTCTCTTATAGCGATTTTCTTATTTTGTTGTAATTAAAAAACGAATGACTGTAGATACTTGAAAATTTCACTGAATGTTTATATTAGTATTTCCTATTCACCATATAATTTAGAAAATATTTTAAGTCTTTTTGATTTGTTTTTTTAATGTTATAATTTGTTAAATTTTTATTTTTTAAAATGACAGTATTAATTTTAATTTTTATATTCCGAAATAAATTATTTATCAGAGTACTTATAAGTTCATAAAAATTGAATTCTAACTAGTAATGAATTATTTTGTGGTTCAATATTTTTTGGTGTACCTACTACTTACTACTGTGCTACACTATTCATCCCATCTAAGCTTTAAATATATACATTAAGTCTATAACCAAGGACTACTCATTCAATATTTGATTTTTGTGCCAAAGTACTCTAAAAAATATTTTGCTTTGGAATTGGTATGAAATTAAAAATATGTTTTGTTATTAAAAAGTAAAACTTAAATAATGACAAGGTTAAAAATATATTATTTTTATAAATATTATTTTGCAATGGCATCAAAACATGTAAAAAAATATACATTCAAAAAGTTAGATCTTTTCAAAATTATTCAAATCGATCACTCTGTAGACCATGCTAATCCTGTACATTTTATACTACATACCTTCCATAACCTATATAATCATCGTTATGTTTACGACAATACAATCAGCTTATTATAATACTATACCTACATTCCACCGAAAACTTCATGTAGAACTAATCAGTTATGTGGATTTTTGTATTGTGCCATTGCGGATCACTACTTACTAATTTCTTCTTTTGGCACTAAATAGTTAAACATTTTTTCGTAAATGTTATTTGTGCAGTTTTTTAACTAGTAAATATTATGGTATCTAAATCCGAACACTGTATTTTTACAGTCAAGGTCAGATGTTCGTAAATGCATTTGATAAATCAATAAATAAACAAAATAAATATTATATTATTATACCTAGGGTGATAATGACAACGTCTTCTTGTGGTGTTGCAGGTGTCATTCGACGTACTGTCTTGTACCGCGTCCATATTGAACCTATGCATGATCAGCGTGGACAGGTACTACGCCATCACCAAGCCGCTAGAGTACGGCGTGAAGCGGACCCCTAGACGGATGCTGGTTTGTGTGTCGCTAGTGTGGCTAGGCGCGGCGTGTATTAGCTTGCCGCCGGTGCTCATACTGGGCAATGAGCACTCGACGGTGGACGGGGTACCGCACTGCACCGTGTGCCAGAACTTCGGTTACCAGATATACGCGACGCTAGGGTCGTTCTACATACCACTGACAGTCATGATCACGGTGTATTACAAGATCTTCCGGGCCGCCCGCAAGATCGTGCTGGAGGAACGGCGGGCGCAGAGCCACCTAGAGAACAGCCACTGTTACCTGGAGATTAGCGTCAAGAATGGCGTTGGCCCGGTCGAGTCGAAAATCGCTGCCGCCGCGCCGGAACGTGGCCAACACGGTCACCGGGCCAGCAGCAGCGCCAGCACCGTCACCACGGTAAGTGTTTGCAAAATGATTCCATCGTTGTTATTTATTATTAATGTAGTTGTTGTTGTTGCAAACCATCACGACCTAAGTTTTTAGAACCAGGAATTTTAAAACATAGGCTTCATTTGTCTGTCTATAATAATACGTTCATTATCACACCGTTATTCTTCCACAATTATATTATGTTCCTCACGGTTCGCGTATCGTTAAGCAAAGACCATCTCGTTATGCCGATTATCGTTCTATTTTACCGTCATATTCAAATAATCAATGATTAGCAAACAGCTGTAAATTCAAACACAATTCCATCATGATTATATCACTTAAACTTGATGTAATAATGTTTTTTCATTATATTTCACTAATTTATATTTTCGATTATCATATTGTTAAAACATATTATACACTGAGGTATATAATAATTTAATGTCATATGAAGTTTTGAATTACAAAAAGGATAGAAAAAAGCTCTTATTGCACGATGTATATACTTAATTATGGTTTTATGCATCTCGGCCATAGGGATTTGTTTGGTTCAATGTCCTACCCCCTCCTATTCACCACTCAACTGCAAAAAGCTTGTAACAGAACAAGTACTATTTTTATTACACTTTAGTACTTTACATATGTTATATGCAATTGCATTTGCAGCATTCGACTTGAAACTAATTATTACATATTCCTTATAGTTCTCAAGTCGTAGAAAAAGCCTTTAGGCACACAGCTTTATTTTTAGCTTACATATAAGTATTCAACATTTGATTTCAAACAAAAACTATAAAGTGTTTAGAATATTATGATATAGGAACTACTATAATATTAAACCTACCTACTTACTGTATTACACACATGTAACACTGTAACCATTCGATCATTTCAATATTTAATAGGGGTTTTCTATGAACATTTTACATTATACTACTTCAATATGCATAGCATTGTATTTTATCCAAACTGTAAAAATCTTTATAAAACAAAGCCGGGAAATTCACTCCGCTATATAGTAGGTGTCGAGTTACTCGTTATTGAATAGGACACTGTGACGGATGTATTAAATTTGAGTTCAATGAAAAACGATTCTAAGAGGAGATGGACTATCGCCTATATTTCAAAGGATATTTAATTATATATTTATATATAAATGTATGTAACTTATTTTTATATTAGTAAAATGGTATTAATCTTATTATAAACCTATTAGTTAAATAGGTGGTTTATTTGACAAAAATAAATCAGTTATATTATAATATTATTTCCTATAGATCTCCTAACTGTTATATATTTATAAATTATAACTTATAAGTTGATACCGATGTATCGTCATACGTAAACTAGTATTAATAGCCATTCAATCAATGTATAATGCATAACAAACTGAAAAGAAATTTAATTGTTTTGTAACCTATCAGTGTACTTAAATAAAAATGGTGGTTGGAATGTTTTAAGTTTCTACAGTATAAAATTTTATAAATTTGTTTTTTTATTATTATTATTATTGTTGTTATTTAGTTCATTAGACATCATTTCTTCCATTATTCCAGACATTCTTTATAAATCTTCATTATTTTCAGCTATTTACTATTGCTATATCGTAAACTAATCGATGTTAGGGTTTCATTAGCATATTAATTGTTTGTCTATTTAGCTTTATATTTATTTTTAAACATATATTGAATTATATTGTTTAAAGTTTCAATATTGGAAATAATGAAAAACTGAAGACCACAATGAGGATAATTAAAACCTATATTGTATATTTGGTATTTAGGTACCTACTGCTCAACAATGTGTAATAGATTAATTGCTAGACTTTTATACTATACGAACCTATTACAATATAATTATTATTATTCATACTTATTTATATCTTTTAAGAATATCTGAGAATCGTTTTTATTAAATCATATCCAACTCCAATATTTTCAATATTTAAAAACTTTCAATTTGGCTGTCCAACTATAATTTATATTCCTAAATATTATTAATGTACTAAACATATTTTTTACACACATATTTACTAAAGATAAAATATGTATTTATCCAGTGTTCATACACGATACACATTATTATCACAGATGACTGCAAGTCAAAATAATCTACGTTATACGAAAAAAATTCAGGTCTTTTCCGCTGAGACAACTTTGAATGTATTATAATATAAACGACGTTTTCAATCGTGTGCTTACACAACAAGAATATTTTCTCGGCGTTTCCGAGATGTAAACACAAATAAATACATATTTTTTGTCCTCTTTCAAACGACAAACATATAGGTGACAGCGGTGGTGTCCTTTGTAAACTGACTGTACTAGAGTGTTCTCTAGCGAATAAAACATAGGTACAAAATATTATTAGAGTTGATATATTTTTTCTTCTTATTCCCATTATCCTCAACTTCAGTGTTTCACCATATTTTACACACACACACTTCAATATATAAATATTTTATACTAGAAAAAAACTATATATTTATTCCTGCATGTTACATTGTATCGACCAGCAGCAGCAGCATTTAACAGGATTGAAAACAAACAGGAGAAAACCAAAACGATCGATGCCGACACCTTTACAGCTATCACTGTATACGAGATCAAGATTTAATTCTTTCCATCTAAACGACAAATTAATATAAACTGATCGAAGTACCGAACACACGTGTAGTATATTGTGTAAAAAACCGTGGGAGAAAAAAATATTATTATTACTTATATTGTATTTTATTAGATTATCGATCGGACGGATGCGTCGGAGGGCAAAGAATACGTCGGAGGGCGAAGTGTGTCGTTGTGACGTTGTTGTTGATGTTGTTATGGTCGCGGTTGCGGTTACGGTTGTGGTTGTGGTTTTGGTTGTTATTGTTGCACTCGAAGAGCCTCAATGAATACAACTATTGACAGCCCTTAAAATTGATGAATGTTTCTTATGCCGGAAATCCTCCCCCCCTCCCCCATATTCACTCCCACGCACCACCCGTTAACACACTTTTTCCGCCTTACCCCTGTTAAAACATCGGCGGCGGCATAAAAGTGCTCCGACCCACAATATGGTTTTTGTGCGCCAAATAAGCTGCCCGACGCCCGCCTTGGATAGTCTGCACTCAGCGCTACGGGTTTTAAAAATTAAACTTATAGTACGTTTTCTGTTTAGATTCTCTGAAAAATTTCTCGCATTCGTTCTTAATGTCATTACGTTATTTTTGCCATGAACTAAAATGTATTAGTTCGACACATGCAACCAATCGAAATTCAACACTCACGTTCGTGTTATACATTTTTCATAACATGTTATAATTTATTATACTACGTGTGCCACATGAGATTTATATTTTATACCATTCCTTCAAAACCAAATACTAGATGAACAAATATTAAATAACGTATAATAATCTAATATAATAGATAACTATACAGGGTGTTTCTGAAATGGATGAGGTAACTAGTATAGGCGTACTCAATGTGATGGCCTAATGAAGATTTTTTACTATCTTCAAAATCTGGGTTTACACAAATTATTATTAGAACATTATCTTAAATGTAAAAATAAATAATCTAGATGTATTTTTTGCGAAATGCTCATACGAAGAGGTGTCACATTATTTTCGCACTTGTCGGGCGTTTTTCACGCTCGAATCGCCAACTAAAAAAAAAATCTTGTGGCACATCAATTTGTACGAGAACATTACAAGATAAACAGTGGTGATAGTTTTTTGTTGTTATTTAAAATACATGATTAATTAACGCATTATTTTACATTGTCAACTAATAAAAATTATAAAATAATAACAAAATTAGGGTTGACAAAGTTTTAAATGATCGAATTTAGTGACATACTGACATACATTGATTTGTGTGATTTAGATGTACAGGTAATAAAATATGGTAACTTTTATCCGTGCTGTCTATTTTAAAATATTTAATTTACCGTAATTTTTACATAAAGAACATTATAGTTGATTTGATTATAGCGGAGTTCAATACTGGATATTGAACAACACTTTAAATTTATTTTTAAGATTTAAGTTTTTAATTTACATTTTGAACAATGGATTACCTACACTAACATTGAATATTCAGAAAGAACATGTTTATGCCAAAGAATTACCTAAATATTAGAGATGAACTTTCGATGAGAATTAATAATGTAGCTGATGTCATTCGTCAAACACCAAATCTGTTGGAAAAAACTTTTAATTCATTACATCGTCGGATCAAGAGTGCATCGAAGTTAACGGGAGTCACATACTCACATTGAACAACTGTAGATAAAAATAGGTTTTCAAAATAAAGTGTAATTAATTATGATTATTTTACGAAGTAACACAACTTAGATGTATGTCAGTAAATTTGATAATTTAAAACTTTGTTAACCCTAATTTTGCTATTATTTTATCATTTTTATTGGTTGACAATGTAAAATAATACGTTAATTAATTGTGTATGTTAAATGACAACAAATAAATATCACCACTGTTTATCTTGTAGTGTTCTCATACAAATCGATGTGCCACGCCACTTTTTTTTTAGTCGGCAATTCGAGCTTGAAAAACCCGTGACAAGAGTGAAAATGATGTGACACCTCAATTCATATGAGAATTTTGAAAAAATCTAACTTGACCTTTTATTTTTATATTTAAGATAATGTTCTAAAAATAATTTGTATAAGTCCAGGTTTTGAAGATAGAAAAAAAATTTCAAAAAAATCTTCATTAGGCCATCACACTGAAAACGCCTATACTAGTTACCTCATCCATTTCAGAAACACCCTGTAGTCCAATCACTTATAAGTTATAATATCTACAATATAAATATTATATATTCCTAATCACTTAAATCGATATTTCAGCGTACACATCGAACTTATCAAAAAACTACAATACTTGTTATGTAACAACAATTTAATTTAAATTAGTATTTAGAGGGGGACTATAGTTATTTACCACAACACCTAGGTATATTCATGTTTATATTAATGTTTTATGACAAAGGGACGTCCAAAATTCTGAATTTATCTTGGTAAAAATGAACTCTTATAATTCAGTTAAACTTATTTGATTTTAATGTTATTAACTTATCGTACACCTTTTGCTTTTACCTAAA